CAGGAGGGTAGTTACCGTTATAGGAGCCTTAGAGAAGGTCTATAAATATACCTTATGGAAGCCTTATAGAAGCCCTATATACCCTAAACTCCCCACTTGTTGTTTCCTTTAACCTGAAGCCTCCACACCCTAAACTCTGAACCCCTGAGCCGACTCGCAGAACAAAAGGGTTTAGGGTTCAGGGTTTATAGGGTTTAGGGTTTATAGTGTTTAGGATTTAGGGTTTAGGGTTTACCCTGTGGACTTCATCAAGCTTGGGTTGAGCGACCCCGTAACCACGTTCGTGAAGGGGGAGGGACACAGCGAGAAGAAAGCCTCTGAGGAGGCTTGGAGGCTCATCTGGAACTGATCCGAGCCCGATCGCTTGTTGGCCGGTTCCCTGCACACGGATCAGGATCACGGGGATGTCCTGGTGTATCAGGACCCTGAGCTAGGAGCAGACTTCCCACTTGCTGTGGGAACAGGTCACGATGACGAGTCCCTGAAGCAGCACTGGCACGAAGCTCTGGGAGTGCTGTCGATTTGGGATGACCACGTCTGGTCAACCCATCACGACGAACAAGAATTCGTGCGAGAGAGGCACGGGGGTAAAGTGCGCCAGAATCTGCAAGGTGAACGAGATCACCGACGCAGAAACGCTGAAGAACCTCTCGTACGCCCAAATCCAGAAGTTTATCGACGCGGACAAGGGGCGAGAGAAGACTACGGGGGACGATGAAGTCAACTCCCATGGTACGGCGAGCTTTGTCTTTGACTTGGTTGGCACCATTGTCAAGGGCGCTGTTCATAGGGTTTTTGGGTTCAGGAGTTACGGCTCATAGGGTTTAGGGTTTAGGGGCCTAAGCGGGAAGCCCTCAACCCTAGCCCCCCCCGAACCCCTACACCCGAAACCATGCCCTACTACCTAAACCCGTAAGCCTCGACCACTTCAAAGGCCTTAGAAACCGTTATGGCAACGTCCAATAGTTTTTAGGGTTTAGGGTTTAGGGTTTAGGGCTTATAGGGTTCAGGGTTTAGGGTTTAGGGTTTAGGGCTTTTCCTTTAAACCCTGCCCTAGAACCCTAACGATCAAACCTAATCCCTACACCCTCAAGCCCGGGTTCAAACCCCCGAGCGAGAACTCTAAGGCGCCCCCTAAGCCCTCCCTTGAACGGGTTAAAGGGTATTGGGGTTTATGGTTCCTTTTAAGGGGTTTGGGGTTTCCCCAAACCCCATACCCCAAACCCTAAACCCTAAACCCTAAACCCTAAAACCCTAAACCCTTAACCCCAAACCCTAAACCCTAAACCCTAAACCCTAAACCCTAAACCCTTCCTAAAGAGCCCCTGAAAGGAAGCCTCCCTGCAAGGATCCATTCAGGCCTTGATCTTCTCGACGCTGGCAGCGGCCTACATCAAGGAAGCCCTGGAGTGAGGGACCCCAGGCTGAGAGGCTTTAGGGGTTTAGGGGTTCTAGGGTTTAGGGTTTAGGGTTTAGGGTTTAGGGTTTAGGGTTTAGGGTTAAGCTTAAGTAAGGGTCTAAGGTTTAGGGTTCAAGTTTTGGGGTTCTAGGGTTTAGGGTTTAGGGGTTCTAGGGTTTAGGGGCTTTAGGGGTTTAGGGGTTTTGGGGTTCTAGGGCTTAGGGTTTCAAGGGTTTAGGTTCTAGGGCTTGGGGGCTTTAGGGGTTTAGGGGCTGTAGGGTTTTTAGGGCTTTAGGCTTTAGGGGTTTAAAGGTGGGGTTTAGCAGGGCTGCATGGCGGTTTCTTGATAGGGTTTAGAGGTTTAGAAGGGTCCTATACGACTCTCGCGCTGCTCCAAGGGCAAGAAGCGGAGCTAGGGGGGATATAGACCCTCTCAATAAAAACCCCAAACCCTAAACCCGAAACCCTAAACCCTAAACCCTAAACCGTAAATCTTAATAATGCTAGCTAAAGAAGGCATTTTTTGGAGTCGGTGATGGAAGCTGCAGTTCCCGCTGCAGGGCAATCGCACCATTGCTGGGCTGTTTTCCCCGTCGTAGATGACGCTGGAGAGTGCGGGTTATGGGGTTTTCAGGATTAATATGGGGGTCTAAACAAGTACCTATACTATTTTGGAGGTTCCTTATTATAATTACAGTATAATGGGCCCCGAGACCCTATTCTAATTATTTCAGGTTATGGGTTTCAGAAAACAGGGGACTCTAATATAGCACCCTAAATAGTAGGATCCTCAGTATAAGGACCCCAAAGTAAGGTACCCCCTATTTTTGGATTAGGGGCTGAGCACATCAGAAGGAGAAGATGCAAAACAGCCCAGAAGTCTTGTGATTTTTCCGCTGCCTGGTCGAGGCATCCCTACGTAGGCTGTGGCGTTGCGGGGCCGGAGTTCTAAACCAGGAATTTGAGTTTTGGGTTTAGGGTTTAGGGTTTAGGGTTAGTTTGAGTAAGGATACAAGTGAGTTCAAGGCCATCATAGAAGAATCTGAGTTAGGGAAGCACGGAGGTGGGAATGGTGACCTATAGGTCCCTTCTCTCTCTCTCTCTATATATATATATACATATATACACACACACACCAAAATAGACTTTAGTAGACCCGAAACCTTGTTCGACATATAAACGCTCCGCATTTGTAGGGTCCTACTATCCGTAGACCAACTCTGTGCGGCGAAAGCCAGTGGTAATTGGTTAGACAAGTGACCTTCAACCTTTCAACCCCTGCGCCCCGCCCGAGAAATAGCAGAGTGCCTGAGTGTCACGGGAACGGATTTCTACACGGCAAGCAGCAGGCAAGGCCTCAAACAAAAGAGAGTTGTGGGCGGGCATCCAAGGCTTGAGCACCAAGAAACCGGTTTAATTGCTCGTACCTACCTACTAAGAACCTGCCATCTTGGTACTTGTACCTTGCCTAAACCACGAAAAGTAGGTAAAACCATGGCCCAAACCCTAAACCCTAAACCCTAAATCCTAAACCCTAAACCCAAAACCTTCAGAGCACCACAGACGAAGCTGCAAAGTTGGGTTCACCCCGCCCACCCCCTTCCCAACCGTCGACCCTGGCTCGAAAATTCTTGGCCCCAACATAACAACTAGGGTTTAGCGTTTAGGGTTCAGGGTTCAGGGTTCAGCCTTTAGGGTTTAGGGTTTAGGGTTTAGGGCCGAAAGCAGGCCCCAAAGGCCCAACCCCCAGAATCCGGAAAATGCTGGTATCCCACTAAACCCTAAACCCTAAACCCTAAACCCTAAATCGCTTTCTCCTCCATTCTGCGACATTTCAGGGTTCAAAAATTCTGGCTCGTGCCGGCTGTTTCAGAGAGCAGTCAGCGGGGCTTTTTTGTGGTTCCCTTTGGAAGGCTCTGTACTCTGTACCCTATACCCTAATCCTGAAGCCGTAACCCTCAATCCTGAACCCAGGTTTAGGGTTTAGAGTTCGCTTCCTCACTGGACTGATCTCATAGTACATTGGTCTAGCACAGTCGGAGGTTTAGTGACAAGATTCCCGTAACATTCCCCCAATTGGGGGTCCGACGTTCGGTGCAGGCCAGATTCCGTTTAGCCCGCTTTTGAAGCTTCAGCCGAAGACGGGTTTAGGGTTTAGGGTTTTGGGCTGAGGGCCGTAAACCCCACGCCCCAAACCGTTGCTGAGCTTCTGCTTTTGGGTGTTTGCCTTGCTCTCGGGCTCAAGAACTGGATGACTGCCTGGTGAGTAAAGTTGGGATCGAAGGGTGTTAGGGTTTAGGTGATTGGGGGTTGACGGTTTAGGGGGTAGGGCTTAGGATTTCGGATCCAGTTCAGGTTTCAGCAGAAGTCGTCCTACACTTCCAATGTTAAGAGTATGTTCGT